CTTGCGGCTCTTCCTTTGGGTTCTTCCTTGGTCGTAATATCAAGGAGACCCTAGTAGAAGAAGGGTGATGCAGAAAAAGAATCCCTTTCTTATCTGTTCAATGCTGTGAAGTTAGTTTCTGGTTGGCACCTTCGTACAGGTGCTGGACAGGGTATGTGTTCTTGTTTTTTTTTATAGCCAATGGTGTGAAGGCCTTATTTCTTGGTTGTATACCTTCATTTGGATGTTGGATTGTTAGATTGCATGGGTTGTAGTCGGACTGCTAGTATACTATTCTAACGGCTGGTGTTGGACTGATTACTGGGCTATTTTAATGATTGAACCATCACTGAGTTGATTTCAGCAGTTTTTTTTTTTGTTTTTTTCCACATTCCAGAAGTAAATTCCTTGAGGGTTGGTATTCTGATTGTGGTTGTTGTGTAGTTGTGTGAGATTTGATCTGATTCAGCAGTACTCTATGGCAAACTATGATCCAACTTCATCGGCGGTTACACCGACCCGTAGCACAGCTGGTATGGGAAGTGAAAACATAATGTTTCCCATGCCCACTACCTGGAGTGGGCTAAAAGTGTAAAATTTTATGTAACGGCAAGGGGAAAAGCTRGTTACATAAATGGAAGGGTGAAAGAACCCAAGAGTGAGACAGATGAACATGATAGGTGGGACCAAGAAAACAGTATGGTGATGTCTTGGCTCCTTGCAGCCATGGAACCTGATGTGAAGAAGAACTTTAGGTGGGCAGACACCGCTAGTGAAATTTGGGAACAGGCCAAAACTACCTATTCTGAGCAAAGGCATTATGCCAAGGTTTACCAGTTGCAAGCTGAATCCTCAACCTGTTAACAAGGAAATCGTAGCTTGTCTTCCTATTATTCAGCCCTTACTTCCGTATGGAAAGAATTGGATCATTATCAGGCTATAGAGTGGAAACATGATGACGATGCTAAGGCCTACARGAAGCTGRTWTCTCAGCAGCGTGTGTTTGCCTTCTTGTTGGGACTGAACCCTGCCTATGAACCCTTGAGAGTTCAGATCTTAGGAAGCAAAGAGTTGTCGTCGGTTCACGAGGTATATGCCCTTGTTCAATCGGAAGAAAGTAGGCGGAGTGTGATGGTTACAACCAAAGGGGAGCAACAAGTTGTTTTGGCTGCAATGAGTAATAACATGGGGAAGAAAAGTGACACCAAGAAGGTTGATGATAAAGACAAGTTGTTTTGTACCCACTGTCGGCGCTCACAGCATACACGTGACACATGTTGGGACATTCAAGGGAAACCCAAGTGGGCAGTGAAGAACCAAGAACAGAGTAAAGGGCAATGTTAGAAGAAGATGAACACAGCACATAATACAGCACATGTGGCAACCCAAGATACTCAGGTTGCCGGTACTACTCGGGACCACCTTTCTAATTCTGACCCCAAGGAAGATATAATGAATTCCTTCAGAGACCACCTTCATTTCTCAAAGGAAATACACCCCTGATCTATTACAAGACACAGGCAAATTAGGTGCAAGGCCAACAGATACTCCCATGGATGTTGATCACAAGTTGGGTGACTGTGATGGTGAACCTCTAAAAGATGTGAAACAGTTCCAAAGGTTAGTGGGAAAGCTGATTTATTTGTCCATAACCCG